TCCACGAAATGTAGGATATGTGGGTCGAATAAGTTCACTCGATAGGCTAAGGCAAGCTTGCAGTATATTGTGAAAGTGCCTACTTACAGTTTCCCCTGAATGTTGAAATCGTTCCTGGATCATCCTATTGTGTTGTCCATGAGCAACCGTGTTTAAAAACATCACGACCATTTCTTTAATTCCTAAGTACTTAGACTTTCGTAAACCATATTCCTCCCATTTAGTACATAAGAGGTGGAAAACATATTTATCCACTCTAAACATTTCTTGACATCGATCATCATGCCTCTCCATAATACCTTGTACCCATAAGTTTCCTGTCTGTTCACTAGTTCTGCAGGGTTGTTTAAACATATACATTTCACAACCAATGCACCTACTGCTTCATATTGTGTTAATTCATCATTAATCATGAATAACCGTGTTGAATGGTCATCTTCATTCCACCGTGAATCATCATTCCAATTCCGCAAAGTATCTTCATTCCATGGTGAATCATCATTCTAATTAGCTATTTTTGGAATTAACCCTGTAACTGTGATGACAACAAAGTGTAAGCATTATAAAGACTAAAATAAACAAAGTGTAAATAATTTTCATACTGCAAACAGAAAAACCAACACACATAGATGACAAGTAAAAATTAGCGTAAATATATTACAGTCATTAATAAAGTTCCTACAACAGGCCATATCAGTTCAGGTTAAAACAGTAATCAGTTCAAGTTAACAAATGCAATAACAACAGTGAAACAACTAAGTCCTAAACTAAATCCTAATCTGCAAGTCCCTTCCATGTGTCTGGGTCTTGTGCTGCTGGTATCAACCACCCCAACAACTTGTGTCTATCATGCATAAACCCCAAATAGGCTCGCCTAGCCCACCTCAACCGTGTAAGTATCTTGGCACATGCATAATATAGTTGAGGGTCATCATTAAGCTTCTCAAGGCTAGCTAGGTGTGCCAAAACCTTGTCAACTAATTGGGGATCTTCAACCAATGTTGCTGCTCGCTTGTCAGAAGCAGCTGCTATAACACTAAGGCTATCAGAAATTTTAATAGATGCAACAACTTTTTTCTTCGTCTTTGCATTAGACGTCTCACCCCTCTTCCTCTTTCCATAGCTTCCTGAGCCATTTGGTCCAGTACTCGCGGGGTTGTTTAAGTTGCAACCGGCGAAGTCATCTGTGACCCCTGCATTGGTTGTTGGGTCAACACCGAAATTTTCATCCTCACTGTCCCTCAACCCTTCCTGTTGGTCGAGCCCGACTCTATAAACATCCCCTCCTCTTCTGTGTCAGGCTGTGGAGCAAATGCTGGCTGAGGCTGTGAGGCTGATGGTGTGTACATATATTCTCCCGAAGCCACAACATCTTTGAATATTTTCATCAGATCTGATGCAAACATCAACCCCTAATGTCTAAATTTCTTACAATTGGGATCCACCTACATTAACGTAATTAGGCAAGTGTAAGCGATGACTAACTGATATTCAAAATTAAAACTCAACAAACGCAAATAGTTACCATTAATTTTCGTTGCCACTACTCATCGGAGGCCAACACCCTATTTGTCACTGCATCATAACCAATGCCAGTCTCCCCAGACATAAGTTTTTCCTACAATTTCCAATCCTTTCTTAAAATGTCAAATCTATTCTTAAGTTGCTTCCTGTCATACATTTTCTTGCTCCTTTCCTGAAAATTCTTTTCAATTTTGCTTCAACCGAGCCTTGTAAATGATGTTCCTTGGCGTTCATTGTGCACTATTTGCTCGGCGCAAATATCTATTGGAATTTTCATCATGTAGGGATCCCAAGTCGCTTTTCCTTTATTGGTGTCGATTTCTAGGTGGAAAATAATAGAGATAAGACTAACAGAAGCAAATTTAAAATTAAGAAGAAATCCCAAGACAAAAACGTGTTAATTTAAAATTTTGTTTTATTTTCTAATGAAACTAGCATTAAAGTCATTTCATACAATTTGAAAATCTCTTTTTAAATTATGTGACCTAAGTAAGAGTTTGATAAATTTAATAATTGAAATAAAAATTTGAGTTATTTAAATACGCTTTTAAGAGATTTTTTTAGTGAAAACAAGTTGACTGAAAAATTTGGAATGATTGAATGATACCTGTAAATATACAACATCAACTTAAGTTTTCTTTTTATATATGATATTGATAAATTTATATTAATATCAATTGATGATTTACATTGATCATGATTGTTAAAATTCTTTTTATCTATTTAAATTATATAAAGTCTATCTCTCCCATTGAATTTCATAATTCCTATTTCATTCTATTGCAAATGTTCCCTCACCTATAGTTCTTCTAAAGGATTCATCATCTATAGTTCTTTCAACCTCATATTTACCACCTAGACATTTGATTTTAGGCTTACTTGTCTTCAACGATTGTTGAATTTAATAATCACCGGAACAATCACTTTCTTATTAAAAATTTGCTAATAAATTATAAGTTTGAGCATATCACTGCCATCAACCACTTGTTCTCTTGTTAGATGAGGAATTTTAATTTTAACGCCTTTACAGAAATTAATCTTAAATTAAAATGATTATGAATTTGGAAAAAAAAGTTATAAATATAGCCATTTCCATACTAGATGATCAATAAGATTTATTAAAACAGCTATTTTGTACTAAATACAGATCACTATTTTATAAAACACAAATACTCCTTATGATTCGAACAACAACATTAACCTGAAGCTTCAAAATTCATATAGCACAGAACTCAGCAATTCTTTCTGTTAAATTTCTATAAACATTATAAAAGGAGTACATAGAATCCTGAAGATGATTCAACCTCAAATAATCAATCAAATAATCAATCATAACAACAAACAGAGCACTGAAACAAAGCACTGAATGACAGTAGGGACAACGACGAAGGGAGTGGCCTTGACCAACACTAGGGACGACTGCCATTTCACCGAAACAGAGCACTGAACCAGAAGGAAAAAAAAAACAGGACAACACGGTGGTGCTGTAGAGGAAGTATTTCCGGGAGGAAGGAGAATGATTTTCCGTCAATTGGGTTACTACATTTCCTTGCTTCCACTGGCGAAAGGAGTGGCCTTCACCGATAGCAGGGACAATGGCCATTTTAGGGAACAGAGCACTAAACTAGAAGGGAAGGCAAAAAAAAAAAAAAAAAGGGACACCACGGTAGTGTGGCCTTGACGGACAGCAGGCAAGACAGCAGTTTCAAGCAACAACAGGGGATGAAAACCAAATGTTCTATCAGCTCACACACAAATCAACACACACACAACTCCACATGCTTGGATCAATCACATATCACTGCCATATTCACTGAAAACCAACACAAAAATAGGAATCGACCAACCTATCATAGATCGGACTACCCGAAGCTTGCTAGAGGTAGATTGAACACTCTCTTCCACTAGGAGGCTAAGATCTCGATGCACACCTCACATGCACTGGTAGACGGCGGTGGCCTGGGTTGGAGACGCCGACAGTAGCTCGGACAAGGTTGAAGTCGCGATGAAGGAGCAGGCTCTCGATCACTAAATGCCACACCCGACATGATGACCTTACGGCAGAGACACGACGGAGCTCACGGAGACCAGGTGTCAGTGGTTCTGGCGAGGACACGACGGAGGATGTTGGGAGGCAATTCGTGGTTGTGGAGAGCTTTGAGGCGGAAAAAAAATGAAGAGGTGAAATGAGGGAATAGCCGAAGTCAAAGAAAAATAAAGCCATCTGACACATCACAATGGTAATAAGCTACAATCGCTGATCCAATAAGCCAGAAAATGTAGCTTCTCCCACAACGTATGTTTGAAAGCTTAAATAGATAAGCTCATTTTGGATTTAAGCCCAACCAAACACCAAGCAATTTTCCAACCAGGCTTGTAGCAAAAATAAGCTACTTTTCAACCCATAAAGCCTTACCAAACAGGCTCATAAAGGTACAGCAGAAGATGTCTCGAATACCTTCTTCTCCAGAAGAGAGGATGCTTTCTTTTTACGTAAGTAGTGAAATATATGCATGTAATGATATTTATGCCATGGCCACTATAGCGGATGAACAAAACATCTCCAGGCTCCACTAATGGTTACCATCCCCTTGCTAGTTAAGTTAGCATTTAGTGGTACTATTGACAAATCTTAAATCGCGGATTTCATTTTCATGCATCCTACAAAAAAATATGTTTACTTAGTTAAAATTTACCAGTTATAAATAAAATAGAAATATGTGAGAGAATTTTTTTTTTGAAAAAAAAAATCCGTGCCTGCTTTCAAAAATCATACACTTTAAAGTTTTATTTGAGTCGATGAGAAAAACTTGGTCTCTGGCCAAAAAATTAGTCAATGCATAACTGAAAGATTACCAAGATTTATCATTTTATGTATGGATGGGAATATAGGCGCTATTTAAAATCACATATAGAATCACTTATAGGCACGTTTTACTTAAGTCGAGACAAAACTTTACTCATATATTTATTTCGTATGCCGTAGATCACAATTGAATATAATATCAAGACAAAACTCATATTTACTTAAGTTGAGACAAAACTCTGATCTTTAATATAAGACTTGTTTAATTAGTTTGATTATATTAAAGAAGTTAGATAAGTTAATTAATTACAAAAAATGACATGTTTTTCCTAAAACACCATAATTATCTTTTTTAATATTCTCCCTCCCTCTTCTACTTGATTATGATTGAAGGAGTATCCATAAGGATGATTTAGAAAAAACTAACAAATATGAAAAATATGTCTTATATTTAGGACCAAAATCAACTCAATAATTAGATCATATATTAATGATCCGAAGAGTAACTCAATACTTATAATTTTAACTACTTAAAATATTAGTCTCTACAGACTACGATTGTATCTTGAGGTTCACATATAATGTTTTGGATGACTAAAATTAATGAAAATAATTTGTATCGATTTAAAATTTAAGAATTGAGTTACAACCAAATCAGAACTAGACCAAATAATCAATTTGTTTCCTTTTTTTAATATTATATTACACAGCTTGAGAAATGAACAATATTTCATAACTTACAAGTAATATGATTTTTCAAAAATTGTACATTGACATTGATGAATGATAAATGAAAAACTTTCTAATTACACATTAACGAGGGATGAAATCAAAAATAGAGGCTAAACACTTTGATGATACATTCAAATAAACGGGGTATGATATAAGCAAAAAAAGGGTAGGAAGAAGAAAAGTGAAGTCAGATTAAGAGCACAACCTCATTCTATTATGGATCCCCTTTATAGGAATTGGGACAAAAAAAAACGAAAAAAAACGTGCACGATCAATCAATTCTCATCTACCTTCATCAAGAATGTGACGAAGGACGGTTTTAGAAGCATCTTTAGGTGATAGATCTGCACCACTGAATGTGCTAGTACTTGTGGATGAGTTATATTGACTTGTACCTGATGCTAATCCCTTTGTGGCCACGCTAGTCATGAAGCTGCTCACATCATCAAATTTCCAGTCTGTCAAGTATCCAGGTTTTGAAGTTACACTGCTCACTTCGATATCTCCGGAAAGCATTGCCACGACACGGGACATCGCTGGCCTCAACGATGGTGATGATTGAGTGCACAGAAGAGATATCCCTACAATCATTTTTACTTCTCCCTCGTTGAAATCTTTAGATAGTCTAGGATCCACGAGTCCAAGTATACAGTTGTTCTCATGCAGCTGCCAAGCCTGTCAACCCAAAAATAATTGAAACTAGTTAAGCCAAGGCCCAGAAATCAATGGAACATAAAAGAAGAATGCCTTTTCTTTCAAGCTGTTTTAAAAAATAGAAAGCTGAGAATCAAATGATGTCATAACTGGTCAGCACTACGAGCCTGGAGATTGGACAAAATTCTAAGTTCTATGCCACTGCTAAAGAATATGGGATGAAGTGAAAGAAAGGTAATTTAGCAATAAGAACGCATCAAAACTCTTCTAGACATTGGCATGAAAACTCCCTCGTAAGTGGGAGGTTGTGGATTTAATCTTGTTTGTAATCTCAAGTCATTAATACCTGCCTCTTTAATTGAAAAAAAGAACTCCTCTATACAAAAAGGAGTTATTCACAATCCCCAACAGTGTGAGTTAAGTGTTACTTAATACCATATCACGCAATCCATATTGGAGAGATTTAGACATGCTCCAAGAGGTTGTCCAGGAATGTTTCTAGATAGAGTATGAAAACTGAAAATGCTTTTCAGAATCCGAATGCATCAAAGGAAATAGAGAGGTACTACATACCCATTCTAGAAGATACATCTTCTCCCCTTCTAGGCTTGAATCAGAATTTGGCCTCCCACTAACCATCTCTAAGGCCAAAACACCAAAGGAAAACACATCTGCTTTCTCCGTAAGGTGCCCACGCATGGCATACTCCGGAGCAAGATATCCACTATTTACGGTTCATCAAAACAAAAATAGGCAAGTATTAGCATAAACAAATAAAAACATGCATACAATTTATCTAACCTAAAAGAACAAGGAATTCAAGTCTTGATGACTTACATTGTCCCAGCTACACGGGTGCTTATATGGGTCTTTTTATCGTCATATAATTTGGCCAAACCAAAATCAGATATTTTAGGGGTAAGATCATGATCAAGTAGAATATTACTAGCTTTTACATCACGGTGCACAATACGGAGGCGAGACTCTTCATGAAGGTAAGCTAAACCTTTAGCTACACCCATGCAAATATCATAGCGTGTGGGCCAGTTGAGAGTTAAACAATTTCCTGTAGCATGCAAGAGACATACATTCTAAAAATAATAAACATGAATAAAAAGTAAAGGCATACATAGGCACGTGAACAAACACAAGAAGTAGAAAGGCAACATCATCATGACTTCATACCAAATAATGCTTGATCAAGACTCTTGTTTTCTAGATACTCATAGACAAGAAGTCTTTTATTTCCTTCAAGGCAACACCCATATAATTTAACAAGATTACGATGTTGCACAGCAGATATAGTTGCAATCTCAGCTATGAATTGGCTCTTTCCTTGATGAGATCCTACAGAAAGTTGTTTCACACCAATTACTCTTCCATCGTTAAGTGTTCCCTGGTATAAAAGAGGAAAGTGGTTATTCTATGAAATAAGGGCTAATGTTGTCTTCTAATGCCATAAATAAAAACTTTTTTCTTGACCATAATAAAGCCCTAAAAGTTCTTATTTATACAACCCTATAAATCCCATTAGTAACGTAAGTAATGAAGAGGCATACTACATGCAAAGCATTGTCATCCTAAATTCCATCAAAGAATATTCACCTTATAAACAGGTCCGAAACCTCCCTCTCCCAATTTGTTGCTTGGATTGAAGTCATCTGTAGCATTCTTTAACTCAGAATAGCTGAAAGTATATGGCTTTATATCTATACCTAAAAGCTCTGCAAATTAAACACGAACAAGGTTATGAACAGAAAGAGAAATTGATAGGGCACAATCTGTTGTTGTCCACGTCTTCTAACAAATTTAGTAGAAAAACTCACACTACCATGCCTAGTTTGCCACAAATTAACATCGAAGAGAAGAAATAAGGTAACAGAAACTCTATACTTGGACTTTCATGTTGAACTAAACTCATGTTTCGTTTAATCTTTTGGTTATGTTTAGGTACAAAACCCACTCAGTGTGATGAAACAGGCAAGTGTCCAGTCATTGTGGACAAACACAAATTAAGATATGCCTCATCATTTAATGAATTGCTGCATGAACAATCACTGACTACAATCTGAATAATATTCATGAAAGTGCACAATTACAATTTAAATAGTCAGGCATGTACAGTAGCTTTTTTACCTTCTTCACCATCTTCATGATGCTTTCTTCTCTGGATGATACAGAAAACCACAAAAACAAAAAGAAAGCTTACGACTCCAACACCAACAACAATGCCCACAATCAAACCGGTTCTGTTCTTTGTACTGCTTGGAGGTTTGTTACCAACTGTGGGAATGAAATCTATTCAACGAATAAGCAGACCATGTCAAGTTCATATATCACCCTTTTTCATTTTGGTAAATCAAAACTTCAAGTTCTCGACTACTGATTTTTTTTGTAAAAGTTTTACCTGGGGTAGCACTGATTGCTGAAATCACAGGACCATAAGTACCTTGAGCTGGTATGCAGCAAGTCCCTTTTCCAGCCCAAAAGAGATGGATCTCAAGAAAGTTTTCTGACACATGAACCTGAAAATCCTTTCGGACAGCTTTAAAAGAGGCACCCCCAGCTTCCCGTTTAATGTTAAAATCCTTCAAAACACGATTCCCCTGGAATGGGACAAATGAAAAAGGAGACAAATGAAGGAGGACGCATAAATAAGGGTGAAAAGGAAAGAGCAAGGATTTCAAATAGTATCTTTGGCAAATATCGACCATTCATTAATGTAGTGGTTTTGGAACTAAAAAAATGCAAGCATCATGACAAGGACCATTTCAACACAAAAACTTGAGCTGTTTTATGAGTGCCCCTGCTATTTCTTGGACATTTTATTTCTTAGACTTATGGTGCGTTAGTTAAGGAAAATTTAAAGTTAAACATAACTTCTGTAATTTCTTGTTTGAATATTATAAACATGGAAAGACAAAATGAATAAGGTCAGTCATTACACAAGTTCAAGACAAGAGAAGATGAATTCAATTATGTGTATTCGACAGATACAGTTAATGTAAGAATAAGTGTACAAGCTAGGTTAAAACCAGTCAGCTAATGATTAGTGGGTTGGGCTTGCATTGCATATACTAATTCTTCAACTTCACCTAATGCAAAAATAGAAAGATGGGGTGTTTCTTTGAAAAAGCTAGTGACTCCCATTTAGATTATTACGTTATAACATCTAGCATTGCCTTTAGATAAAATCATATGCACCTGGATATATATATCAAAGACCCGTCTTCCAAGACTTCTCCATGTACTCGTATCTAGAATAGATGTTTCGGCGAAATAAAGGGAAATGTTATAATCCCCATTTTCCAACCCCAAGCCATAATATCTTAACGAAGAAGCTGATAGCCGTGCTGTTTGGAAGAGCTCTGAGTCCACAGTACCAGTGAACTGATTTGATACAAAGCTTGTGTATTGAGGATTGTTTGTCCCAGTAAATAGCCCGACATTGCTAACTGCCCATCTTGTTGTATCAGTAACATAATAAGTTGCAGGACCAAGTGTCTCATTATCTCTTTCATAAGTAATTCTTTCTGATGATGTGATTGAAGGACCGCCACACTTGATTGCAAAGTTATAATCTGAATAGAAACATTAAGCAGGGCTATTTCAAGGCATGAATAAAGAAAGTAATTATCTTCACCTAATAGACTCCACATAGAGTTTAAAGTTTTCTCGCATGTTTTACAGTAGAGAAGCATACTTTCGTGTGTCAATGAAGTCTAATAGTTGCGATGCTGAATTTGGATCTAATAAATAAAGTTTATTCAACCAGTGATGGTGATGGGAAAAATTATTTGTCATCCCTCAATACATAAAATGCATCAAATATAAATAATTCCCTGAAGTCCTGCATTCATCTTATTGGTCCAAACTTGTAAATGAGTTTGCAACTTGGACAAATGGAAAACTTGAAAAAGATATACGCAGAGGTTTCATGTCAATTAGAGAAACGATAACGATTTAGATGTTTATCTTATTGGAGTTTCCAAGGTGAAAAATGTCTCAATAATAAGCTCAGAAAGGCTATGCAAGATTACACTTTTTTGTAAGTATTAACTAGATAGTTTACTTGAGAATTGCACAAAATATGAGGAATAAGAAGCATTATTTATCACTTTTGAATAGTCGTTTTGCAATAGATTTCATAGTTAATATTGATATATCGATGCCAGCAATGGCAAACTAGAGATAAAAGAAGTACTTACATATTCCAGAACCACGAAAACAAGGAAAATTTCGCTGTAGACAATTGAGTCCAAAAGGAAGGTCACTGCAAGAGAAAATAGCATTTACTTAAAATATGTACATATTAAAGAAATATTAGATAAGCCCCTTGAATTACATCTTGATCTTAATAAAAGAAAATACAAAGTAGGCATGGTAGGACAGCCCTAACAGAGGCACCCCCAGATTATCCACTCAAAGCAAATTTTATTTCAGAGGTTTGTACTTCTTATCACCAAGCCTGAACATATAATAAACCCCTTAAATTGCATCTTGATCTCTGAATCTCCTTGTCAAGAGCTAGTTCATCCTAAGAGTTTAAACTTTGTCGAGATATCCTAGGAATGATTTCTTTATCACACCCCCAACATGAAGGTCGTTAGGTAAACATGGATGTAGCAAAAGCCCACCATACCTTGTGCTAAAATTATTTAATTAGAAAATGGAGGTAGCAAGGATTAAACTCTTGATCATTTCGTAATAAAGCCCAATAATATCTTTAATAAATATCTTTAGCAATTCTATACATACATAACCAAGATTGATAGCAAAATCATGGCTTTGAGTAATAGGGTACTGGCTTTATGCTTGAAGAATAAATGTTTCAGTTGATAAAGAGGTCTTTAAAATAACACGCAACTGACTGATAACTCTTGATTCACAATAGCCAATAAAAGGACAAAAATGAGATTGAGTGACAATATTATGCAAAAGAAGAATGATAAAAGGCACAAGAATCACCTGCTATTTGAACCTTCTATTGTCAAATTGTTAGCAACCAAATTTCTGTTGACCAGACAGCATAAAAATAGCGGAGTTAGTATCACCTTAATATATAAGCAAGCAAATGTTCAAAATGTATGTTGCGAGAATGAAACTTACTATAACTACCTACTTTTTACCATGTTAGATTGAGTTTATGTGCACCATTACCCCATCCAATATCATGCTTTATTTGAAAGCACCTACTTTCCTCATTTAGCACCATTGCAGCAAGCAAGTCTTATTCCCTTAAGTGAGGTCAGCTGCATTGATCATATAATGTTATTTTGTTTGATCAATAACCAGATCTTTCAATATATCATTCATCAAGAGATCTTATTTAATAACTTCCTTGAATGTCTTTCTTCATTTCTTGATCCCCCTCTACACCTCTTCATAGGACTAAAGACCATTTGTTCAATTCTCCTCTTTGGTGGCTTTATCGACCTTCTTTGGACATGACCATAAACATTTTTCTGCCATTCTCCTCAATAGATGCCACACCAGCTTTTCCTCATATACAGTTATTGAGGATCTTGTCTTTCTCTATGTGACCAAATATGACACAGAGATAGATCTAGAAGCTAGAATGTGAGGGACCAAAAATGAAAATTTTCATCAAAGTGAGGAGAATTAATTTCAACACTTTTTACAAATAAAAATAGCAATATTTACAAGAAAACTTTATGCATGGGAGAGCAAGCACCCCTGCTTGAACCCCTATATATATCACTATACATATCTATCTCAACATTCTTATCTCTCCAACCCCAATTTTTTGCTGTTACTCTTGTCCTTCAGTGCCCAACAGTCACTACCATGTAACATCATTGATCTTATACAAGTTTGGTAAAACTTCTCATTAAGCTTAGCAGGTGTGCAAATGGGGAAGAAGATTTTATTTCTTGTATTTTTGAGGAGGAAGAGTACAAAACATATCCACCCAAGGGCAGTAATGGGGAGCCCAAGAAATATGGAATACAATAAATGGAATAAACTAGATCCTAAATCAATTCCTATAGCCATGGGTATTTACATCACAACTAGAAGAAAGTATTCTGGCATGAACGACAGGATTTGTATTTTGTAGTCACAATTCATAAATTACTGATGATGTCTTCTTCCATTTCAACCACCTAACCCCACTTGTATCTCATGCGTAACATCTCTGTCAATTTCACTGTCATCTTATAATATCAATCCCAAATACCTGGACTGGTAGTATGGTTTCAACACTAAGTTTTACCTCTAAATAATCTCTAACTTGTCTCTTATTAAATTTATAACTCTTATTAACTTTGTAATGCATATATTCCATCTTGCTCTTAAAGGGGAAGCCCTTCAATTCCAAAGCTCATCTCCAAAATTCAAGCCTAAAATGAACCTCTTCTTGTGATTCCTCAATTAAGATATTATCATTTGCGAATAGCTTGTACTTGGGGAATTTTCTTTTGTATGTGATTCAAAACCAAGTCAAACCATTAAGGACTCAAGGACGATCCTTGATGCAAACCAATCGTGTAAGGAAGTCTTGCCTCACCTTTAGGTGTTGGCCCCTCGTACATATCCTTTATAGCTCTATTGCATGCAACATGAACACGTTTCTTTTCCAAAGCTTTCCATACCACTTCTCTTAGTAATCAATATAAGCATTTTTTCAGGTCAACGAAAGCCATATTTAGATCTCTTTCTTTACTCCTATAATTTTCTATCAACTCTCTTGGAAGATAAATAGTCTCTATTATAGATTATCTAGGCATTAACACAAACTGTTTCTCAGAAGAAAACATTTTCATTTCTTAATATGTGCTCAATTACTTTCCCCCATCATTTTGTTATCTAGCTCTTAAGTTTTATCCAATAACAGTTTACATGGTTCTGGATATCTACGTTATTCTTGTATAGCTTCATTAAAGTCATCCAAATCTAGGTCTTTTGTTTCACTTTTTATTGGTGCATAATTCAAGGTCACAAGAGATACACCTCTTGTCTCCCGCTTAATCTCTCTGTTTTCTTCTATAAATAAAATATAACTTTTAACGAATAAATATACTAAATCTATAGCAAATATGATTTGTAGATAAAGAATTGCCTCAGTTGCAAGAGGACTTGTCAGTTAAAGACTTAAAGTGAAGCAAGGAACTTTTGAAATTATCAAAATGACAAAAAAGTGTAGGATAAGTTACTTACAGTTGTAAATTTTGTTTGTTCACCCAAGAGGGGAGGGTCCCTGATAGATTGTTGTAGGACAAGTCTCTGTAAGCATTCATTCAAGTTGTTTAAGTAAATACCATGGAGATGACGGACAATGCATTGAAGAATTAAGCCTTTAATTACAATTAGTGTAGTATCAGTTGCATAAGTTTGAAACTAACATAATTGCACTGACTTCTATGTTCATAAGCACCATGGTCATGAACCTGTTGACCTTAATCTTATAGGTATATGGATACCGAATTAGCATATTAGAATGCGGGTACCCCAGAAGATAAATAGTCACCCTCTATGTTTGAAAAAACAATAATGCTTGAATTCAGAAATACATCTAGGGCATAAGGTTTCTTAAGCATATATAATAATATTAATACATCTGTGCACAAAGATAAAATTAATATATTATATTATACTCCATTCTCAATGCACTACGATGCTGTAGAGTCCAAATATGTCAAGAATACTCACATATTGAGAAGAGTTGGGCTTATCTGAGTAGGGATTGCACCAGTGAGTTTGTTATTTCCCAGAAACCTGAGTTGGAGAAAAACAAATCATGCTTTAATCCAATCATGAAGGCATGCAGGAAATCCATAATTCAATTACTTAGGACAGCATATATATTACAAGTGTGTTAGCAAACTCAGATTGAAAAGTGATCCCGGAACCTGTCCTGTGATGTTATTGAAGCTCAGATCCCTGCAAGAACCAGCTATATAATCATCCAGATGCGGAACACAAACACAACTGAAGACTATTGATCTTTTTCCCCATTGAAAATAATAATATGTGTATGAAAGATAAGATGGATAATTAGTTGACTCCAACCGTTTTCTGCCACATAAAGCACATAATAGGGAAAATAATAAAAGAGAATTGATTATAGAAAATTAGTGAAGAATCCTTGGTAAACGAGCAAGTCATTTCGGATCCAGTTGCCAGTAGCACACACATTGAGTTCTAATGACAAATCACTCAGCTTGATGAACATTTCAATTTGAACGAATTAGCACTAAGAGTTGCCCTATAGTTAAGCAGTATAACTACTATACAAAAACTAAGGTATTTATTCAGGTTGGAGATATCCAATGGAAACCACTGTCTGATTTGCTTTTTCCTGGGAAGCAAGTTGAAGAACAATCGCAGTCTGTGCTTTTGTTCTTTTCATTACATCATTGCCATAGGCCACTATTTGAGACCATGGCTACATACCAGCTACTAGAATCCCATAAAACAAGAGCATTACAAGAAATAAATTTTCATAAAAGGGCAACATGACTAAGAAAATAAGAAATCAAGTAATAGGTTGACTAGATCCCCCAAACTCCCACCTCTAATTTCTAGGACAAAAGGACTAATGGCTAGTATTGATTGGCCTATATATCCAACACAAATTAAGATATCTGGATAGTTTATGCTTATCTGAAGAATTACATGAACAGGGAATACTCACAGCTGGGTCAAATTTAGAAATTCACCGATATTTGATGGAATTGGATCAGAAATATTGTTATTTCTCAGAACTCTGCAAGATTGTTAACCAAGTTGTCATGCTACATTCTAGGAAAAAAATAAATAAAAGGAAATATATTGATGTATCAGGAAGGCTATGAATTATTAGGGAAGTCATTGCCTTCCAACTTACAAGACAGTCAAAGATTTCATATTCCTTATAAATGCCAGTGAGGAGCTCCCATTAGATATTTCACTTATTCTCCTGCATTAGAATTATGCTTAGTTCTTATCAATCCGCAGAAATGCATACAAGTAAGTAGTGATGACACTTACAACTCTGTAAGAGAAGTCAGATTGCTAAATGATGATGGTATTGGACCTTCAAAAGAATTCCCCTGGAACCTCCTATCAAAAAGTACAGAAATTCTACTCAGTGAGCACAAACTTCTGGAACAGAAAATACCAAGTAACAAAACAAGTATTTATATTTCATATCTGAAAGAATTTTTTTGCACACAAGCTTTTATAAGGAAAGATTTAACTACATTTTATAAATAGGAAAGGAATTCAGTGATGAGAAAAAAAATCAATCCATTAGCACAAATAGTCGTAGCAAAACCATATTTTAACTAAAGACTTGTTAGCTCATAAGTGCTTTCCAACCCCTTTGTAAACCCACTAGGGGAGAAGCCTGAAATTGATCATAAGGAGGCTGTAAACTAATTATCTCTGATGATGAGACAGTAGATACTTCTAATTAATGCTTCTCAAATTTCATTCTAACCAAAGTCATTACATTCCTTGAAATGACGCACAGAGTTAAAGGACTTCATGCAGAGTAGCTGGATAAAATCAATGCTCATTAAACATCAAACACTCTATTCAGAATTACGCATACCACTTTAGAATGTTTAAGAGATCCAACGTACTAATTTCAAGGAAAAAGAAAACAGTATTGACAATATTGTCTTACAAGACTATAAGCTTAGACCAACTTCCTATGAAGTCTGGTATCCTGCCCGTGAGTTCCATGTCTGAAGCCCATCTGGACAACCAGGAAAACTTTCAAAGTTATTTCATTTTTAATATTATAATTATCATGTAACAGACAAGAAAAAGTAACAAACTCTTACACTGTCGCCAGGTTTTTAAGACTAGCAAAAGTGGGAGGAATCTGGCCACTAAGTCCCGAACTATCTAAATAGCTGTATAGAAATGTTTATTGAAATTGATATCATCTACTGATCACACAAAAATCAATAAACTAACATAATCCAGATTCCAAAACAAAGTGAATAATTGTAACTTTTTTGGCATATAAGGAGCCTCACTACATAGAAATGAAAGAGGAATGTCAGGAATGTTGCGAAAATAAATTGCCAATGCTACCATCAAATATATTTGAAATGCAGTATATAAATTCCAAACATAGGAAGAAATGATTCATTATTTTTTATTAATTAAAAATAATATGACAAACACATATTTGAGAAGCAAAATATAAGGCAAGTTGTTCATGTCCATAAGTGTTACTATAACCTACAAGTCTCAGACATTAATTCTTTGATCATAAGTATTTCCCGAAAATTGCCAACAAATTACTAGACAGCATGCTGTTAGATATCTTCTATATGATAATCAAACATAAATTAAACGTATACATGTCATCTGAAAGATTAATATTCATGGAGTTGAGAGAATATATTTTTCATAAGCCCGTCATTAGAAACAGAATCTCATGCTTCCAATGCGAGACTCTTTCAATTTGATCATAACAAAATCTACAGACGCAGCGTGCACTGGAGCTTACAGTTGTTCCAATTTCACGAGTTTCCCTAGTTCAGAGGGGATAGACCCAGAGAAGTTGTTTGATCCAAGACCCCTGCAGAATTAACAAATAATTAAGTAGATGGATAGTATCATCATGATATATGTCTCATGGAATCATAATTCTAATAAAACAAAATGGTCTTTAATTAAGCTACATAATTATTCAGCATCCTTCATTATCAATTCCAGATATTAAAAAAGCCCATTGAAAACAAAAAAGAAAAGAAATGAAATATCACTTTTGAATAATGTGATATAACTTGGGTACACGGAAAAGTAAAAATATCAAAATTGCCAGTTAAATCACCTGCAAAAACAGAGAAACAAAATGAAAGGACAGAGCAAAAAAGAAGGAGGAAAGAAATTGCTTCAAGGGGAAGTAGATGACTTACAATACAATTAACTCGGTAAGATTTCCCATTTCCTTGGGAAGCTCCCCTGATAAGGAGTTGATGCCTAAGGTCCTAATTAGGATAAATTTACAATAAAGTGAGTCCATGAGTATTGAGCACAAGGCATAACAAGCAAATCCAAATTCTCTCTAATAAGATGGGAAAAAAATTAGTCATTTCGAATAAATTCTACCATCATATCAACCTGAACGGTGTGAAACTTATCTTTTGCCATTTGAAATACACAAAACTGATGCTAACATATTTGAACTATCCAAATCAACTGAACAGTATCAATTTGCTCGCAATGACCACCTTTTTCCCATAAGAAATTGAGAGGATCCTTAGGTACAAGAAGGATTTACAACCGCTATCTAGTCAGCCTTACATGTACTGCATACGAGTGAGATTTCCAATGGCCGGAGGTAGAGAACCCGTCAAATAATTCTGACCGAGGTTCCTGATTGCAATTAGAGGAAACTTTATGAAAGCCAGAAAAATTAAAAAGAAAAAAATTCCATTCATTTAAAAAAATAAATAAATAAGAACTCTTTCGAGGATGTTTTGCAAGAAATTTTAGTAAAACCCAGCTTGGAAAATTAAGGAGTTAAAAAGCATACAAATTGGTGAGGTGAGTCAGAGTCCATAGCTCTTCTGGGATTTCCCCAACAACATCCAATGCATAAACCCTCCTGCCAGAAACAAGCGGGAAAAGTGCAAGATCAAGATCAACAATACATATAACAAAACAATATCAATAAATCAAGTTGAGAGAAGACAGATATTATACAGTGCAGTAATGTGGCAGGTGCCATTGGAACAGTCGCATTTGATAAATGGATTGAAGTCTTCGACCGCGGTAGTGCTGTCAATAGCTCGTCCGCTGCATAGTTCACCGCTTATATTCCATACACTTGCTGACGCCGATATTTCCCATTTGTTGAAGATTGAATTCAACGTTCTCGCTGCATAAAAGTTCAGATTTTGGATAAATTGCATGAGATGCAATAGAATTTCAGACTGAGTTTTCCATTCTTCCAAGGAAAGCACCGTGAAAAGAAAATCGAATCCCACAAATTAACTAGTAGGGTTAGTGGGAGAAGAATTAACCTTTTTTTTGGGCCGAAGAATTAACTAATTAACTGACAGGCCGTTGGGAGGATTAAAATGATAAGGAAGATGTAATCTTGTTTCTTGTTTTTTTTTTTTACCAGAAATCTTGTTTCTTGTTTTAGAAACAATTTTTTGTTTTTAATTTGTTTTTAGTTGATTGTTTTAAAAAATAAAAAACATAACATGTTTTTAAAAATTAAAAAACCAAAACAACTTTTATATTTTTTTGTTCTTGTTTTTGTGTTTTTTATTTTTTGTTTTGAAAAGTTTTGAGAAATCTTCTTCTTTTCTCATTTACTATCCACCACTTATTATTACCAGCGACAACTATCACATATCAAATGTGATTTTCTACGGTTTTTTTCAAACATGATTTTTTTAAAATTATTATCCAAACAAATTCTTTTGTTTTTTGTTTTCAAAACTTATTCTAAAAAATAATTTTATAAAATTGTTTTAAGAACAACAAAACAAAGAACAAAAACAAACAGGCTTGTAATTTTTTTTCCAAAAACAGAACTTTTTCCCTCTTTCAAAATTACTACGTCCGCTCGTAAATATAATATAATTGTTAGTTTATAATTTGATCCTAAATATAAAATTTAAATATATTTTATCTATAATATTTATCCATTTTTTTAAAAATAGTTTTTGTAATAGTTGAACATATTAATATTTCATCAAATAGTAGTTCTAACTAATATACATGTAACAAGAGTATCCTAGAGAAGATAACACCTGTTTATTACAAATAATTAATTTAAAAAATTTCCTTAATCTACTCAAATTAGTTAACTAGCTCTTATATTAAGAACTAGAAGTAATATAAAGTATTTTTTGAAATATCATGTTTAAAATTACTAAACATTTTCTGTCTTTTAAGTTGTAATTAATAAGATATTTCAAAAAAACCATTTTTAATTAGGAATGTAATTAATATAATTTTTCTAATTAAGACACTATTAAATGGGGATAAATATGAAAAAAATACGTAATTTTAAAAATCATTAACTAACTTATTAAAGGGTGCAGATTAATTAAAAATATATTATAATTCTAAATGGATAGAGTAAATATAAAATATTTTTTTAGAAAAATCAATAAAAAGAAATAAAAATATAGTTATTGTTAAAGGGAAAAAGAATACAAAAATCCTACAAAATTCTTAAGTCAGGTCTGTAAATAATTTCTTTGTACTTAACAGTAAACTTCTACTATGAACGTGAACTTGAACTTGCGTGAACATAATGCCAGCTTATATTACTAATAGTGTGCCATTTCAATGCTTAAAAAAGAAGTGTGATATTTCAACAATAATGCTTGATAGCAAAATTTTAAAAACTGGATCTCAAGTTCTAAGATTTACGGTACAAAAAAATCCATAATCTTTTTTTTGCCAACAAAAAAACTCCATAATAACATAACTTCGCTTTTTTTTTTTGGATCGTACATTCTGTGATTGACTGTTATTCACAAATCAATCACTCATATATACACAAGACTACCATTACATCTATAAGGAGCTTCAAAAGTTTCAAATCCACAGCATTATAAGATATTAATCATATTTACTTTATAGGTTAATTTAATATATCACTTTAACTGAAAATTAAGTTGGGGCACAAAGAGTAGGCAAAATCCAGGTTTATTTGGAAAAAAAATCAAATTTTAACAAACAAAAAGAATAATCATGTTTAAAAGTTCTATCGCAGCCAGAGCACACAGAGAGAGAGAGAGACCTTCAGAAGGATCTGTGGTAGCGTTTTGAGCTTGTGATACAGAAACGAAGCAACTGAAGAACACACAAACAGCAGAAGCAACTGCAAAAGCCATGGCTGGTGAAGACGACGACACAGAAGAACAAGAAGGAGAAGGAGAAGGAGCCATATGATTATATATGCAAACTGGAAGATATAGCTTGTGATGATCCAGAAGCTGATGAAGAAACTAATAGAGATTCAGATCGGAAAAAACGATGAATATAATCGGGCTAATTTGAAGGATTTTGTTGAGAGAATAATATTATGCAGCGCCACCATGCCCACAGTTTATATGCATGAATCATCATTTGACTTTTGCAATATGGCTTCAATTACTTAATGGGGTTGTTGTTGGTCGCCAAAACAAAAATATCCGAGTTGCCATGTTGGAGCCTCCCTTGTCAACTTGTATGAATAAAGTAAAATTTTATAAATGTCTTTTATGATTTTATTATCTTTACTTAACACGTTTTATTTTTATTATTTTGAAGAAAAGTACTACAAGATATATTCTTGTTGGAGGCTAATCCATAAAGGGGACAACCATTATAAATTGCGACTTGTTTCAGTAATTCATCAAGTTGATTGCTTTCACAAAAAACAAGATACTTTTCTGTTAGTTCTTTATTCATTTGTAATAATTACTTTTTGGGTACAATGCTATAATTATCATAGAGAGAATTACAATGAAATCCAAAAAAAAAAAATAATTGAAAAACAAATCCTAGAGGTTGTTATTCTCCATTGTAAAACTTGTCATTATAGGCTGTTGACGTTGTTATTAGGACCTTTTAGTAATTATTTCTCTTTTATAGGACTTAATTGTAATTCTCTTGTTATTATATTAATTATGCTAGAAAATATATGCTCCCCTTCAAATGATACCCTTTATTCTCAATCTCCTATATAAATCCATATAAATATGTTATATTTCTCAAAGGAATGTGATTTGTTTTGATAGATTTTTGACATTCTTGTTGTGAATGATGTGGAGTTTGATAGCGATGAATGTTTAAATCATTATTTAATGAGGGGGACCATATAAATTTGTATATATGTCTTGACAAATTGTCGTTGACTCGTAAAAGTTGGTGGCGAGGCCGACGCTCATTGCCATGCAAAGTTGACCATTCATGTGCCCCTCATTTTATTTAATAATTTATTAGTTAGTTTCAACTACTTTGTTAGAGTTTTTTTGAAATGCCTTATAAGCAACTTTTCAATCATAATTTAAGAGATATGAGATAAATATCTGAAGAGAATTTTATCTTTTTTTTTTTTGTGGCTACTCTGTATTCGCATGTCCTTTTATTCAGTTTGAGATTTGACTTATGTAAAATATATTTATAAGTGATTTTTAAATTGGATGGTAACAGAGCCTTAATTATTTTAGCCTCATCTTCCTCATAGATACGATGACCATTGATGCATGCTTGTGTAAAAGTTTGCATAATCATTGTTTGAAAAACATGTAAAACATATGAAAAGTGAATTAACCAAAATACTTTCAGTATTTTTCTCTGGTCCATAGCTATATATTTTTACAGTGATACAAGAATATATATGTTATAGAAAATATTTAAGATTCATTTATTTAACTATTTGCTAAATTTATTGTTTATAAAAATCAATTCATATATTGACTGCTTCATTGGCTTTTAATCTGACAATTTAGAACGTTATTATTTCGCTTTAAATTTCAAGGAGACATCAAAAGGCATAAAATATTACTATCTATGCTTTATATATGTGGAATTTTTTTCCCTTAGAAGTCAAAATAGGAAAATTGCAAGTGAAACACGTGCGCCTACTTGTTTTGAATTAGTAATTATTAATTACTAATATCCCACCAAATTAGAAATGAACTATATATATAATTTATTCTTCAATTATATTCTCTGGCCAAAATTATATTGGAAGAATCCCATTTAAATCCAATTAAAATACTGAAATTCAAAACCAGGTCTTCAGAACAAATTTTTAATTAGGCCAAGAGGCCTAATTAAAGATTTATGAATGTTGTTAAAAGAGCAAAATAGCCATCTATAATTAAAATGTGAAATGTTTCTTTTCTATTTTTCTCTCTTACAAATTCTTTTCCTAAAATATGAAAACACTAATCTGTAAGAAGTTTATTGTTTGAATAAGTTTTTACTATTAAAATGTAGGTGTATTTTATTAAAAAAATATGACTGTTTCATAAAAAATATGTGTGTGTATATTATTAAGTACATGAAGGATAGATCAATATTAAAACTGAACGAAAATTAAACCCATCCACGATTAAAATACTACTCCAGTCCTTAATATAGAACATAATTGGTGATTGTATTTTAGTCCTAAATATAAGACCTATTTCTCATATTTATACATTTTTTCTAAATTACCCCTATGAATTTTTCTCAACCATAATCAAGTAAAAGAGAGAGAAAGGATATTAAAGAAGATGATTATGGTGTTTTAGAAAAAAAACCTGTCATATTTCTTATAATTAACTAACTTACCTAACTTTCTTAATCTAATCAAATTAGTTAAATAGATCTTATATTAAAGATCGGAGAAGTATAACAGTAATCTACACCGTTATATTGATGGGGTGTTGGAGTAATTATTAATGTGAATAAAGGACTATATTGTAATTTTCTATCATCTACTAAAGATTTACTATTTTTAAATATCAAGAAAATCTAAAAAAAAAGTCAGAAAAAGAATTTGTGAGGAAAAAAAATATACATAAACAACTCATATTATAATTATAGGTTATTTTAGACTTTTAACAATATTTATAAATCCTTAATTAGCCATCTTAGTCCAACTAAAAATTTGTTCAAAGTGTAGGCCTAATTAATTTTAGATTTTGGTATTTTAGTTGGGTTTAAATAGGATTCTTCCAAATTATAATCTTATTAATTTATACACACACACACACAATAATATCCTCTAGTGGGAAAATGTCTCCAGGTAGCCATGTAAGGTGTCCATTTCAAAGTCGGCAATTGGCCGAAGCCGCCCTCCCGCCTCCGAATTCTAACGCAAAGAAACTGGTTGGTTGAAAATTAAATTTGCTGACAAGAATTTATTATGTTTTTCATATTTATTACTTCTTCAGTGCTTAATGTAAAATCTATTTAACTAATTTAATTAGATTAAGAAAGTTAAGTAAGTTAGTTAATTATAAGAAATATGACATGTTTTTCTTAAAATATCATAATCATCTTCTTTAATATCTCTCCTCATTCTTTTACTTAATTATGGTTGAAGGGTTTCCATAGGGATAATTTAAAAAAACTGATAAATATGAGAAATAGGTCTTATATTTAGGATCAAATTCAACTCAATAATTAGGGTCTATATTAAGGACCGGAGGAGTATTTTTTTATTAAATTAATTTGCCTAATTTACAAACTGATATATAATTTAATATTATACAAAAATATTCTAGAGAGATGATATCATATTTATTACATTAACTAATTTATTTAATTTTTCAATCTATCTATTTAAGAAGTTTTTATAATTAAGGATTTGAGGGAAGAACTGGTTAATTAATAATGCACTGCCAAGTTAGTGGCTATAGCCATCTGAACCAGCGGATATTAATTACATAATATCAAATTGAATAGACCAAGTCTCTTCTATTTTCTTTTTTGATTTTCAGTCTTGGGATTTTGATCCCCAAAATCCAAGAAAAAGAATAATTCACAAACATCTAGATGGATTTTGAAATTAACTTAGGCTAAACTTTATGGCTATAAAATCATTTCAATGATAATTTTTTATATTTGTAAGAATTAAATATAAAACCATGTCTTCTTGTTTTTTTTTAATCAACATATTCAATTATCTTTGTAAACCATGTATTTGTTTTTTTTTTTGACAAGGACTCTGAAAATAGTTAATGAGTGTAAATGTAATATATCTTTTTTGGTGATTAATAAAACAAAAGGGGAAATTAGTAAAAAGTATCTGGTTGAAAATTATATTGACTAAAAAGAGCTAAATTCGAATCGATATAACTATCTTCAATACGTGTAACTTTTTTTTAATTATGTGTAACAAATCTTCAATAATGTATAAATGACTTGCGTTGTAACTATTATTACACATAATTAAAGATAAGTTGCACAGAGCTGAAAAAAAAGTTACACCCACAAAAGATAGTTGTACTCCTTAAGTTTAGGCCCTGTTGACCAACAAAATTTTTAAACAAGGACTTGAACTCTTTGTGCAATTCTACTAAAAAAGAACTCTGAAAAATTGAAGGTGAAAATCCCACCAAGTTCATATCAATGCGCTTGAAATAGTTTGGCCAAAAAAAAAAGCACTTGGGATTTTTTTTTTGCCGAAAAAGCACTGGAATATTCATTCGTCCTACAATTTGATCTTAAAAAGATAAAAATAAATTTAAATTTTTAGGTGTAAATTACTATCTTATAAACAAGGAATAATTTAATTTAATATTATAGTAAGAAGTATCAGTATCAATTTTTTGGGGAAAAAATGATTCAAAATAGCTATCTTAAAATTTAGTAAAAACTTTCAGACCATCATAGAGCAAATGTTTTTAATTTTTAACTACATTCATGATTTTTTTTAATTATGGATATGTGCTTAAAAAGCTTAAAGCTTATGAATTATTTTCATCAAGTGAGGTCTGTTTTTATTGCTTAACACACTTAATGCTTCCAAGGTTGCACTAATAAATATGGCCAAGTTTCACGTAAATAAATTGAAAATGTAAATTTTTAAGTGCCTTATCCTGATATGGCTTTACTCTCCATTTGTCCTCATTTAAACTGTCAATGTGGTCTTTTATGATGCTTGTTTTTGGACAGGCACTACTGCTTAAAAATTTTGTATCAATTTTTAATGTAAGAATTATTTAATTAATTTGATTGAATTAAAAAAATTAAATAAGTTAGTTTTTTTTATGGGTCAACATCACTAGCTGCTCACATAATGTGGCAGTTCAATACATCATTCCTCAAGCTATCCAACATACCTGGAGGAGGTGAAAAGAAGCAGTTCATCCCTTGCATCCAGCAGAGCGCTTCCTTTGCCAAAGTATCTGCAACAGTGTTTGATTTTTTTTTACAGTCATTAGGTAAATTAGTTAATTATAAAAAATATTATATGTTTTTTTTAAACATCATAATAAGTTTTTTTAATATCTTTCTTTTTTCTCCTATTTGATTATAATTGAGAGAATATCAATATAGGTAATTTAGAAAAAAATAATAAATATGAAAGATAAATTTTACATTTAGAACTAATATTAACTTAATAGTTAG